CCCACTGCTGACAGCAAATTCACACCTTCCATTAGAGCAAGCCTCTGATTGGTGGGTAGAATCAGCCCACATGGGCTTAAGACAAGGATGTGTGGAATCAACCGGTCCAGGCTGGGGCCGACTGGGGCTACCCGGCCCGGGCCGACCTGGTACAGATGGGAATGGCCCATCAGAGCTCTACCTCCTAGTGTTAGTACATTCCTTAAAAACTGCTGGATTAAATTCTGTGAATTTCTTCTAAGTTCTGCAGTTAGCAAGGGTCAAATTTATTTACTTTTATTATTATTGTATGAAAACATAAAATATTTATTAATGATCAACATATTAAACTTGGACAATACACAACAAATTCTGATTACTATTAAAACTATTTAGCTTTTAAAGGGATACTAAGCAGTTTTGGCCAATTTTCTAGGGGTGGCCATGGCTGCTGAGCCCCCCTGGAAAGACCAGTGTTAAGAAATCATAATAATTAGTGATGCACCGATATGAAAATTTTGGGCCGATACCGATATCCGATACTAAGATCACTGTTAAGGCTGATAACCAATATTTGCCGATACTGATATACTGACATCAATGCTTCTAAAATCAAAAGATTTTGTATAGAATAAAAATTATTAAAGCTGAATTTACATCATTATGTACACACAACACACTCATTTGCGCTTCTGAGATGATTACAATCACTATCACATACCGATGCCGATATTGATGCTGATATATTGTTCATCTCTAATATATTGTTCATCCCTATCTCCAGCAATCTCCGGGCAAGCAGGCAGGGTACGCCCTGGACAGGTTGCCAGTCCATTGCAGGGCACACACACACACACACACACACACACACACACACACACACACACACACACACACACACACACACACACACACACACACACACACACAGATTCAATAAGCGCACGCTGCGCAAACTCCGGCGCGGCGCTGTGCCGTCAGACTGAAGGCAGAAATGAGCGCTTCCTTCTCCGTGATAAAAAACTTTTAAGAGGTTTTATAACAACATTTTTGATTCAAGGTCAAATTAAGATATTAGCTTCTATTTTGGGATGACGTATGAATTTCGAGATCGATCATATTTACATATGATGTGGGGGCTGGGGGGTGCGTCGACATGGTCGGGACATAGAAGGGGGTGCGCGGCTAGATAAGTTTGGGAATAGCTGATCTAGAAGAACTGTTGTGCTTTTTGGCAGACTGGTTTATCTGGTTTCACATTCTTTACGAAATGAAGACAATATGGTGTTTTATTAACTAATTGCAGTTATAAAAACATTTAGGCAGTAAAAGACTTTATCAACAAAAGTGCTAAAGAGTTTTGCAGAACCTGTGTGTGAAAGAATATAAAAAAGAGATGCTATGTATTTCAGCCGAGTGGATTTGCTGTAGTGTAACGTTATCGGCAATCTTGCAGCCCGTGCAAATCCTGTACCTACACCGCCACTCTGAAGTTGCAAGTGCAATATGATGGCCAGACAACTCAATCCCAAAGTCATAAAAATAATACAAGAAAAGTCCTTTTTTTGTTCAAAATAAATAAATAAATAAATAAATAAATAACTTCATCATATTAGTTATTTAAACATTTTGTGTTGCATTTTGATTTTCATGAATGTTTCTCTTGTGTATTCATCCTTGCAGAGTTTGTTTTTGCTTGTTTTTGCCATTGTGTTTAACGTAGCTCATAAGTGAGTCATAAAACTCAAACTTACTTCGATAACCTAAACTCAATTCAACGTATTTAAGAAAATATTTATAAAACTAGATGACATTAGCCAACCATTATATTTATGTTTTGGGGTAAAATACTAATTGTCATATTTTGTTGGTCTATTTCAATACTTTAAAAGGTTTCACTCATGTGTAACAGATATGAAAATGTACTATATGAGGGCAACAATAATCAGTCTTTAGAATAAAAATCTATTTCTCAGAACAGAGGTCGTTCAGGTTGCTACTGACAATGAGTAGCATAGTTTTCTTTTTTTTTGCTTTTACTCAGAAACACACTTACAAATTTCTAGAAACTCCCTTTAAGGCCATATCTGTTTAATCTATGCACAAAGTGAATCATTGATCACTGACCACAGCTTTGCTAAAGAAATAAGATCTGTGATGTAATAGCATTCATGCTAATTGAGGCACCAGCACTTAACAACAAGGGACAGTTTTAGCTTTAAACACCAAATCAAATCAAACAGAAAGCAAAAAGCAGACATTTACCATGCTAATGGGAGCTTTTTCAGTTCCATTTGACTGCTTCATTAAATCTGACTCAGGTAACCATGTCAACAAGACCACCACTGTCATCCTCCTAGTTAACAGTCTGCTCCGTTTGCTGCTCATCACCATCAAACTCCAGATGTAAACCAAGAGTGTCTGTCGCATGGGTGAGGAAGATCAAAGCTTCTAAAAGCTGAGTGCTGTACACGGAATAGAAAACACAACCTGATATGTAATCAAGTGGACCGCTTTTCTTTATAACAAGCACATTTTCTATGAAAACAATATGTTTCCAAGTCAGTCGGCGTCCAGGTTGTTCCTCTCTCATTCTGAGCTAGCAGCCATTTTCCAGGCTCAGGAATAAATGTCCCCTCCTTCCATTGTCCCACCATGCTGTTGTGTATGAATGTGAGAGTGTATGCATGAGTGTGACAAAGAGAGATGGGACCCAGAAGTAATTTCTCTCCCTGCCAAAGGGGTTTAAACACTGGAGAGCTTTCCACTTCAGGTGTTGCCTTTGACTGACAGGGTAATTTAGAGGTGTTGAAACACACACATGCAGGCACATATTTGCAACACGTAGACAATAAAGGCACTGCAGACCTGTTTTTATGCTGACATAAACATCATGCATTGTTTTAGAATTTACAAACACTTATTTTTGCTGAAGATGCAAAAAAGTTCCTTGAAGTTGGAGTAAAATGTTCTGCCACAGCAAGAGATCTGTTAGGCAAGGGAAATTAGGAATCACCGTTCAAAAAGAAGGCAATGCAAAGGGATTTACAGACAACACAAAATGCATTCAAAGCATAAAAAAAAGATCAAACATGTAAAGAAAATCCATCTTTAATCTGGTCAAACATGCAAAAACTGAGCTTTTGAAAAGAAAAAGAAAAAGAAAAGTAATTAATTCCTCGATCACAAATAAAGTCCAGCTTTGACTGGTAAACATTACTTGTTTTAAAAAGGATGCTGCACACTGGGCTACAAGAGTAGGCACAGCCAATGTTTCCTTCCAAGAAACACATTGAACAATCACTAGTCTCATTTTCTGATGAAGCCAGATTATTTAATCCAGTGTTTCTCAACCCTGGTCCTCAAGGCACACTGCCCTGCGTATTTTCCATGTTGCCATTTTAAACACCAATGTTTCCCTGCTGCCACACACCTGACTTAAATGAATGAGTGGTTAACAGGCATCTGCAGCACTTGATGTCCTCCTGAGGAAGCAATGTAAATCAGGTGTGCTGAAGCAGAGACATGGAAAACATGCAGGTCAGTGTGCCTTGAGGACCTGGGTCAGGAAACACTGATCTAATCAGACCAATCAGACATATCAACAGAGACTAGAGGAAACCTGGTATCAGTATTCACTAATATGCAGATGATACACTGCTTTATACCACCATGTTCCCAGGAGCAAGACCAATAAAACTCCTTTTCATTTTGGTATTTTTGACAACATCAACAACGTCATATTAGAAATTACAGGTGAAACTTGAAAACTAGAATATGGTACAAAAGATAATTTATGTCAGTAATTCTACTTAAAAAGTCAAACTAATATATGAGATAGACTCATAACATGCTAAACTAGATGTTATAACTGTGATGATTATGGCTTAGCTTATGAAAACCCAACAGCCAAAAGATTATTGTGAAAGGTTCAATATTCTAGACCCAAAGTGTCCCACTCTGGTCAGCTGATGAATCCTAAACACCTGCAAAGGGTTCCAGGGCCTTTAGATGGTCTCTCAGTCTAAATAAATGGACTTTTTCACCATGCTCTAATTTTTCCAGTTTCACCTTGCCCCTCATGTGTTTTTAGTTTAAAGTTTAATCAGCTGTAAAGCATTTTGTGTAAATAGAATCTGATTGAAAAGAGGCATGGTTAATTCATTTGTTCACCAGACAAAGTTTATTTAGCTCTTTTTGCTATTTTATAATCTGTCAGTGGGAGGTCAGTGCCTGTGTTTTCCAGACACATTGAGCGTTACTAAAATACTCATCAATAAGCCCGCTTGCATTCAAACATAGAATAATAGGTGTTTACAAATATCCCGTCCAAAAGACTTTTCTTATCATTGTATTTTAGTCGGCTGCAAATAAGGCTCTAATTACTCACTGGTATAAAAACAATGTCGATTTGTTAGACAGAAGAGTGATGCATTGTGACGCTAATGGGAAAGTAGGAGTTTATTTATCTAATGAAGTAAACATTATTGGACACGAGACAAAAGAGCACATCCTGATTAGCCCCAAAGTCATGAAGTTCATGTTAACTGTGAGTTATCAAGTATTGAACTGAGGTGTTTGTAGATTAATGGATAATACCACTATTCAGAATAAGAGCTCACGCTTTAGAAAGAAAACATTGGTTGCTAATCTTTTAAAGGTTTTAATGTTAATTATACAGATGCGATGTTGGAATGCTTCTTTCTTGCAGAGCTGGCTGACTTCCTGTCAACTCCACACACAGTTCTGATTCACTCATGAGTCACATCAAGACATAAATTCCTTTAAAAAACACCACGTGAAATCATTCTTAAATAATCGATCATAATTCATATAAATGTACCTTAATTGTTAGCCCCATGCGTTAGCACACATCTAAGCCACCAGTATGAGAGGAGACATGAGTAAAACTAGATGTTTATGCCAGATGATCCCCATATGGGATCTGTTTGCTAACGGCATGCTAAGATCGAGCAGGTTACCTTCAGGTGAAGTTTTCACAGGTTGAGATTAACACCAACCTGTGATGTGTAGCCTGTCCCCGCTGACCTCGATCTTGAGGAACAGCCTTCCGCGGCGCTCTGTGTGGTCCGTCCCGCACAGGCTCGGCACGTTGACCACACACTGCTTGTGCACGTTCATGTCGCAGGCTAGATGGAGACGAAGCACAGAGACAAACAAGAGTGTTGAGTTTATCAGAGTGTGTGTGTGTGATCTCATTTTTACTGCAGCTAGAAGTGAAGGTGGGTCACACAAAGATGCAAAGTTATTTTCACAACTTTGTGATTTTATTAAGTTTCATGTAAATTACAGGAGAACACCAGGAAAAATCATTGCTTTTGAGGAAAAAGTAAAAATAGTCGGAGGGCTTTGATTTTATGGGAAAATACCAAAGCAGCTATGATGGATCATTGCAGTTACCAGTAAGAGCTGAAATTAAAACAAACAAACTGTTTTGTTGTTTAAGATGCATATTTACTGGTTACAAAGTTCTGCAAGAATCAGCTATGCTGCTTGGTGCTGTTGCTGTTTTTATGTTCACGAGGTCCTGTTAACCTCACTAGTTAGAAGAAATTTAAAAAAATCCATCATTAGCAATCTCTGGACTCCGGAGGTTATGGGTAAAAAAAAAAAAGTCCATCTTGGAGGACGTAATCAAAAGTGTCAGTCTGCTCCAGTTCTGATTATGAAAGACTGACGGGAAAGCTGTGAGGTTTCTCAGGAAAGCGTTCAGCGATCAAATGGCTTTTTTAATGCATGTTTTTTGCTGACCCACCAAAATGTTAATGGAAACTGTGAAAAATCCCCCCTAAAATGAAGGCAGCCTTTCTTTATTCATAAAAAAATGGGTAGGTGAGAAAAATACAAATACTGTACATGCTTCACCAGGATAGATATCTAAGATTTGGATAAAATATTAACCCATCATCATCCTGTCGAGATTTTGCTCTTGGTTTTGTTTTTAATTTGTAAACAAAACAAAAACGTAAGTATTTTTTGTGAAAAATTTAGAGGCTGACTGATATGGGGTTTTTAAGGCCGATACTGATACCGATTTTTAACTCATTCACTGCCATTGACGACAAAAGTCATCATTTGCATTTTTTTACTCTGTGGGGGCCGCAATGAACAAACTTCCCTGCTCTACAGCCGATCTTCATCCGCGTACGTCACACGTCACATGATCAGGAAGCAGAAAATCCATGTGTTAGGAGATCGTTTTGGAATGCTGCTGTAAAAAAAGTGAGGCGCGAACCGGACAAGCTTCTGCCGATCACAACTCGACAACGGATTATGAATGAATGGTGTACAGTGGTAAATTTCGTGCTTTAAAGGCTTAATATATTACCCTTACCTATGACCAATAAGCTGTGATACTCTGTATAAATATAGAATATCAACCTGCTTGGTCTTTGGATGTTTAATCAGAAGATTCTAGGATTCTTTGTTTATTCAGGGATCGTAGAACACTTTGTCTTGATTCAAAATAAAGCTTGAAAGGTGCGGATTCTTCCTGATGTAAGAGGTGAGTCTCCGCTTTGGTTTGGGAGTTTTGGAGTTGACATCATCCTAGCGCGCAACGTTCTGTGACTCCTAAAAAAACAGTAAAAACGCTGAAAAACACTTGCAGCGAAGGGCTTTTCTGATCAGGAAACGGATGGCAGTGGAATGAGTTCATACATTTTGTTGCCGATGGCCGATATCTAAAGCCAATTATTAGGCCGATATCTGTACGTTTTAGCAGCACATTGATTGTGAAAGACAACTGAACACTCACTGTGTGCAATATAAATTAAATAAGTCAATAAATCTCTTAATATTTATTGAACTTCAAATATAAAACAAATTTAAAACATTATAAAAACGGTGTGTTGGGGTCCTTTGGGTCCTTTCTTCAGTATAGTAGTGGTGGCAGTCAGCTATGCAGGTGCCTGATTTATTTATTTTTTATTGGCTTTTAAAAGAATTTCGGCCGATGGCTGATATAGAAAAATTTAATATATTGGCCCGATATTTAAAAATTTTACTTTTATAATAACAATAACTTTAAGTGGTTCTGATGAGAAGACACCAAAAGGTGTTTAAGGCATTTTGCATACAGATCTACAGATGCTGATTAAAATATTTTTTTGCGAGCATTATAACTCACTGTAGTGTTCTGACATCTGATAAACCGTTACAGACACACATCTCCATTTGTCTCAACAGTTTCTCCTCCTGCTGTCCTCCAGGCAGGTATGTCAACACAGAAGGAAACAAGAGATGGAACCACAGCCCGTGGTTAGATCTGGTGCGCTCGCATTACCATCTGTGATTAGGGGACCACCGTAGACCCACAGATGGAGGTACAGAGAGCAAGGAGGAGAAAGATGGTGACGGATGGAGTTGGCGTGGCAACAGAAAGGAAGAAGACAGGAACAAAGGAGAGTGGGACACACAAGAGAAGAAATGTAATAGAAAAGTGGGAGGAAAAGGCAGGGTAGGGTCACTGACTCAAAGAAAGGTGGGAAGAGTAAAAAGAAGAGTGTGGGGGAAAGAAAACCACAGAGATCTCAGCGGGGCCGTGAACTGGGCTACAGAGACGTACAGGCACGGTATTCCCATTTGTCCTCATTAGGACCAGATCCATAAAGTAGCCCAGCACAGGTGCACCCCCACCGATGGAGTGATACTCACTGTCACATTTCATCCCCTGGTGGATGAGACCGTACAGCAGAGATCCACAGTGGTCACAGAACGTGGGACTGCCGTACGTGTGAATCTTGAACTTGTGCTTGCTTCTGGGGTCCTGGGAAATAATGAGGGACAGAGAGAGGGAAGAAAACAGACGACATCATGAGACTAATGGAAGGTTAAACGAAAGGTTAAACGAAAACATCTCAGGGCTCCACTCATCAGCACAGACAAACGGAGTCATTCAAAAAGTATCTAGTAAGCAGAACAAAAAGGAAGTTTCCCTCAGGACGTTAAAGGAGAAGTTGAAGCTGGACTTTTACATAAAAGCTCCCCAAAAACAAACCTGTAATACTTGTATAAAAGTTGGCCAGAATTACGTATGTAGCCTGTTTTTGGGATCATTCCTGTAATTGCGTAAAGAAAGAGTTTTGCGTCACGGCTGCATTGGCTGTAAGATGTTATCAGGAAAACCTAAAGCATCCAAGCAAAGAATCAGATGTTCCAAATACAGGAAAAGCCTTGTTCAGGGGTCTGAAATGTGTAATTCTGGCGCCGCGTGTAGCTTTTGGTGTTCTATGTAGCGTTTACATACATTAACAGAAATGGATTCATTTTTATAACCACTATTTAAAGGCTTTTATTTCTGGGTATGAAAAGAGGGATGAACTCTCTGTGACTGCAGTTGTCTTGCTGGTTCTTCTGGGATTTCATTAATCCAACTTCCAGACAGCTGCCATCTCTTTCAAAAATCCACCAAACACTTTAAATCTCATTCGTGAATGATGCTGCAGGGAAGTCGTGTGGTTTACTGACAGATTTTAATGACTAGTGTTGGGCATCTTACTTTTAAAAATTAATTACTTAGAGTTACACTTTTTTTTTCAAAAAGTAACAGAGTTAGTAATTAATCAGATTACTCTGGTACCTAAAAAACAACGTTGTTAGTAAAGCCGTAATACTTAAACGCAGCTACTGCCAACATTGTTAAAGACACTGAAAAAGGCTTTAAGTCAGGTTATTCTGACAACATTTAGAACTGGATATAAAGGCCTGGCTTTGATGGAAACACAATAAAAACAAAGTAAATGATGACCTCAGGTTTTTTTATTTAGTAAATTGCAGCAAACTGACCAGCTCATTATATTCACTCAAATTTTATTGGGTCATACGTAAATGGCAAACATAACAAGACTCACAGAAGCTCTCATAGTTGGGTTTATCAACAGGAATATCTCTATAATGATAATCTCTGCACTCTAATGTGAAAACAGCAATGAATGCCAACAGTTCCTTCATTTTATCATCAAACCAACAACAGTCACTGTGGGTGAGCTGTAAACAAAGCAGCATGGCAGAGAGGAAGCATTCTGAAGTTTGGGTCCACTTCACTAAATGGGATGGGTAACTGGGTGATGATGAAACCAGCAACAACAATCTAAGTGAGGCGTCATCATCTTAATCTGCTCTGGTAGGTAAGTTAAATGTTTAAGATAAAGTTAGCTTGATATGTTAGTTTCCGTTCAGCTAATGGTGCGTTGGCTTTCTCCTCGGAATGACGAAATTCCGACTAGAAGAAAGCGAACGCGCTCTAAAGTTTGGCTTCATTTCATTAAATGCGATGGGTGATGATGAAACCAGTGACAACGATCTAAGTATGAGACATCTTAATCTGCTCCAGCAGCGAAATAAACTGTTTAAGGTAATGTTAGCTTGATAGTTTAGTTTGTGCTTACAAAGCTAATGGTGCATTCGCTGTTTCCTCGGAAATTCCAACAGATTGAAAATGAACGGCCAAAGGATTGAAGATACACAGTAAATTTAGTTCTAGAGTCTTAGTTCTAGAGCTGGGTACCCCCCGCCTGATTGCCCGTTGACCGCTGGAGATAGGCACCAGCCCCCCCCCCCCCCCCAGCCGAATACACATATGTGTGTGTGTGTGTGTGTGTGTGTGTGTGTGTGTGTGTGTGTGTGTGTGTGTGTGTGTGCATATGTCTGTTAATGTTTTTAAGTTGTTATGGGAATTTGGGGTAATTTTGTAAAGCACTTTGCTTGAAAAGCACTTTATAAATAAAATCTGATTGATTGATTTTTCAGTTTTGCAAAGCTTCAACAGGTGTAACAGTACGTGATGATCACCTGTGCTACATTACGTGCATTTGCTACACAAAACACACACATCAACACAGATTGTTGGCAAAGCAGTCTATGGTCAACCATCATCATCGGTGTAAAGATGACTGCATAAATAATGTGCTAAAATGCGAAAATGAATACAGCGGACATAGCCTGAATAAAAATAAAAATAAATAAAAAAACGTACCTAGATTTCTGGTACGGCCGAACTCTTCAAAAAGAGTTTTTAATGTTCCCAATTTTTTTTCCTGATGTAATTATCCTCTTTGAAGTGTGCACTGCACAAACGAAACGTTTTGACTCGTTCCCAGCCGAGTATCCTTAGTATCCTTGGCGTAGCCGATTGCCAAAAGCCACTGATGCCTTTGAGAAACGTCCTTCACAGAAAAAGTGTGGAACCGAAAAGGTGATCCTTTAACATCCTTATTGTTACAACCTGAAAAACTGCAAGTACGCACCATGGCTCTATATATTTAAGAAGAACTCCTTTTAACCCTCTGCAGGCAGGCATTGCAGATTTGCAACGTTAAAACCTATGAACAAACTTGATTGATTGATTGATTTATCAAAATATTTATCAAATATGGTTATATATTTTATGACAATAATATATATTTAATAAAAATTGCAATTAATTATTAAACACTCCAAAGTATCAACATTTGGTACAGTTAAGTAGCGGTATCGAGTCGTAGGTACCGGCAATTGGTACCGTATCGATTCAAAAGGTACCCATCCCTATAACCATAAATATCTGGTCTAAAATACATGGGAGTGGGTCTAAGTGTCTGGGTGATGCCATATTAGATGCCATTTGTCCTTCTACAGGAGCCCTTGAGGACCAAACACATGTACTGATTTGTAACAAATGGTTACAAAACTGTCACCAATAATTATTGTTGTTGTTTTAACATTGCCTTCATGGCGGGTAGTTGGTAAGTTCTTACTCCAACACAAAACTACAGCTTGCTTTCAACGATTTAGGTATCTACTGTCCCTATCACCTGGAAAAATACACAATGTTATTTTAATTCCAGCTGGATGATTAAAGTCTAATGATTAATTATAAATTTAAGAAATAAAAATCTTATTTTCAATCTGATTTTTTCACAATTTAAAAAAAAACTGAAGAAATATTTTGTCGTAACAGTTGCTTTGAAAAGTGAAGGAGAAAATGTAAAATACGTGCAGTCAGACAGAAAAAGAGAAGCAACTTTTATTTTCCTCATTTACTTTTACGCCTTGCTGTCTAGAACCAAAAACAAGACATTCTCAGAATCACAAAGCTCTAAAGAGGATTATCTTCCTGTGTATTTGTTAATGTTACCAAGAAATTAGCTTTAAACTGATCATCATTTAAGAGGATTTGCAGAATTAAACATTTTCTACAAATAAATGCAGTCACTCTCAGAAGGAACTTCATTTTTATGAGGAATGAAAGAAAATAAAGAATCAAAGACAATGAAACTGGATAGAAATCAATCCTAAAGCCTTTAAGAACTGACGCTGTCTGCAAACTGGATTATAGCTAAAGAAAACCTCTCAACAACACATTGGTGCACAATTTGCAATAGAATCAGTAAATATCACTGGTTATAAATCCATTCAAATATTTTCCATTCTGCATGGGGAGAGCTGAGGTCAGCTCATTTCTGCAACCACCACAAACCAAACATGGCTCTAATTAAAGGCCTAAATGAGGGTGGATAAACCCCCACCAGCATCGCCTCCACCAGGCTGAATTGCTGCATGTATAATTATACAAGCCAGTGGCTGGGTGAGAGGGCCCACGTAGCTGAAATGTGCCTTTTTTCCCCACAAACTGTCTAAATAAAGCAAACAACATCATGTCAGAGCAGAGAGGCGGTATCTGATAGAGGGAGGAAGGGGAACGAGGCAGAGGGCGTACAAGTCTCAGAAAAGTCTAATTAACTTCTCCTTCTTTTACGGTAGAGTGCCAATTTTTACTGTTTGCCTCCAGCCTTTACTTCCAGTTTAATTTAATAAGTAACGTTGGTTATGAAAAATGATTTTGGTCATGATCCGTCATCCTGGTGGAGTTTTCCCTCATCAGTTTTTTATAATTACTATTTAACTGTGAGAAAACTGATGTGTTCCTCAATAGTGGTGTGCATCTCTACTTGCCTCACGATTCGATCCGATTGCGATTATCTGCCTAAAGATTCAATTTGAGCATGAAATGCATCACGATTCTTCACACAAAATTTCTCATTGCTTAATAAAAGCAGTTGAATAGTTTTCAATTTCTTTTTTATTTCGATATCCCCGAAAAACAGAACATACATCTATTCACTATAGTGAGCAACAATTTTTAAAGTGTGCTGCCTATAATTACTTAAATAATATAAGAAATAATGTTTTTGGTAGAGCAGCTTTAAGATAGAATACAACTGAACTTAAAAATAGTAAAGAAATACTGTGTTAAGTGATTCTTTCACATCCAGGATCCCAAAACCGAAATTAGCCCAGACATCCGATTTAAATGTAACAGGTGCATCTTTGATTATTGGTAATGTTGGCCCTGTATCCCTGTCCGCCTTTTCTGTTTTAAATTGGCGCTAGAGCAACACAGTGTGCATGTCATTGCAACTCTGCCCCCAGAATTAGTTGTAAAACCTCAAAACTTTATTGTCCTCGTGAGTCCAGAACATAGACATAGACATAGGGAGAAAATCTCATGTCACATTGCTGCATCGATGCAGAATCATGCATGTCTGAATCGCGATGCATCTTAGAATCGATCATTTTTCCCACCTCCATTCCTCAAAGAGACTGGTTGAGCGAGCTCGAGGGACTGAAGCAGCAACAGACAACATGTCTGCTTCTTCCATGTTGCCCTCCCTGAATGTTCCTCTTTTTGATGGCAAACTATGTTTCCTCACTAACTTGCATTCATCGTTGCTTTGCTTGTTCTCGCTGTCCTTGTCACTATTTCTAACTACAGCAATAGTGAGCTAA